TGGTGACGCTTGCCTGCAATCCCAGTGCTTGGGAGGCTGAAAACAGGAGAATCACTGAGTCCAATCTGTGTAGCAAGACCCTGTAAACCCTGTACTAAATACATAAACCGAAAACAGACCTCCTCTCAAACTACAAAAAATAGTTTTTGGTTGCACACCTGCATATTGTTTAATCCCTCAGTGTTCAATAAATGTATTCTCTTTTCAACATGTATAAAATTCCCATCAACCGTCATGCCCGTGCGCTGCGCGCTTCTCCCCAGCCTCGAGCCGCCATCCTCCTGCGGCCGCTCTGCTATGGCTGTGCGCCTGCTCGGCCCTTCCCCCCACCACGCCGGTGTTTTGTGCGCATGCGCACGTCTCACCATGCTCATCAAAGTCCTGGTGCGCTGTGGGGTTTTTGTGTTGCAAAAAGAAAGCACATCAGCTGTAGAAAATGCAATCAAACCCAGAAGAAAATTAAAATGACCCACAGTTCTGTGACTTTTGAGTCTTCATTTTTGTGTATTTTTTTTCATAATTTTCTCTTTTACCTATATAGGTACTGTATATAATGCCTCAGATGCTCATCCTGCCGCTAATAATGTCCCAGACACAACTAATGAGTGACATAAATCTTTCCTGTGTGAAACTTCTACTGACACAGAAAGACAGACGTTAAATAATTTATAAAAAATAGACTGCTTAGGCTTATTATGTGTGACATACAGAAATTATGAAAATCCACAGGGTAAAACCCAATTTCATAGTTGTAAGTTTTTTTCTATGCTCAGTAAATATTTTTCATTAGCTGCGTGGTATTCCACTGTATAGTTGTTTCTTAATTTACTTAGTGTCATGTATGGGTTATTTAAATTTCTTATCTATTTAATTAAACCAGCATCCTCACAGATAAATCTTGGTACATGATCATGATCAGTTATTTAGGCAGTACTATTGCCAACAGTAATATTGTTAGGTTAGGTGATACGCACACTGCAGGAACCATCCTGGTGGCACGTGTCTGTGATTCCAACACTCTGTGCTTAAAGCGTTCGCAGGCTTTAGGATTGCCAATTAGTGCCCGCCAGTGCAACCCAGCAAAACCTGGAGGAGAAACTGTGCTCCGTATGTGAGCCCACAGCGCAGGAACGTGCTTCTTTCTCCAGACTGACAATGCCATGCCATGTGTCATTAAAGGAAAACTTTGAAACTTTGTTAATTTTTGTTGGTAGATTGATTTGATGTCTTTCAATGCAAGTAAGATGTGAGCCTTGCACTCAGACTTATTCACCAGGTTACCCATCTTTAACAAGTGGCTTGATCACGTTCCTTTTCCATTTAGTGTGGGGAATGTTTGTCCTTTCAATATTAATTCAGTGGAGTAATGTAGATGTTAAAATAGAAATAGGTGAATTATAAATGGGATGATATTTACCGAGTTGCTTGTAAATCAGATGCTGCTTTCACTTTTATCACTTTGTGGTCTTGCCTGTGCAGGCCATGTTTCTGTTGGCGTTATTTGATGCATTCTTATCAACACCTTTACATACTGAGGCTCAGGCTCCTTTTCCTGTGCTTGCTTCTCTGCTCTTCCACTTGATCAGCTATCATTTCCCTTTCTGGGCTGCAGGGTGACTGTAGATTCAGAGCCACTTGTGGGCAGCTGCGCCTTGTAGCTATTGGCACCATAGCTGGGCCATCGGGAAGCCCATGGTGACTTCTTCTGTCCACTGCAAATACCCATGTGCATCTTTCTGCTTTTGGAGGATGTGGGAAAGTAAAATAGCTTTTATAATACCTACTCCCGATTTCCCGAACAGCTAGCAAGATGCCTTTTGTTTTCTGGATGTAAAAGGCAAAATGTGAGTAGAGAACTGGGTTTTTTAAAAAAAAAAAAAAAGACAGGGGAGCATTAGTGGGAAAAACACTCATGCTGTACATACATGTAATGTGACACATGTGCTTAAGTGACAGGACCACACGTGACTTGAGCAAGTTGAGGGTAGCACATTCATGGGTTGCTGCAGAAAGAATATCAGAAACAGCTGATAAGGTACAGAATCTGGGTAGAGTAGTGCGGTGGTAGAAAGGGAGCCTCCACTTTATGGCAGAATGTGGCGATTGCCCTACTAGGATGACATGGAAGTTCTCAGATTAATACAGCATTTGAAATGGTTTTTGAAGACCAAACTTCCAATGGTTTGTAGAGAATTTCTAAGAGCTGGTGTAAATTTTAGTCATAAGTCAGGAGCCAAATGAGTGCAGTAGCAAGTAGCAAGTAGAACGTCTGCTGTCCTGCTTCAGTGGTGTTACTGCTCACAATGGTGTGTGCCTTGCTGTGCAGGATCGTGCCTGCCTCTCAGTTTCCAGGACAGATGCGGAACCCCACGCAGAGTGGGTCATCTTTAAAATAGGTTCAGAGGGCAGCAGCCAGGCAGTGAGCCCAACGGGATTAGAAGCTTCCTTCATGTATTTGGTCAGCTCTTGGTCTCCATTTTTCAAGTAGAAAAAAATAAGAATTTTAAGGCTTCCTAAAATGTTACGGAAATGTCAAAATCACTGAACATGAAAAAGCCAACTGCAGAAGCAAATCAGTGAGTGACAGTTATGAACCTCCTGAGCTTGAAGAGAGACACTGAGCACCCTGACCATGTTCTGCTCAGGAGGTGGAGCCGTCAATTGAGCTTTTCCAGTATAAAAATACTGATGAGCAAGATGAAGTTATTTTTCAGTTGATTTTTGAGGACAGTAGTTTTTCTCAGTTATGTTGATACTATTTTGTATTCCAAATGCCAAAATTTGTAAGTTTTATTTGTTGATGGATTTCTTTTTTGTGGTGCTGAACTAAAATAAACTCTGGCCTCACTCATGCTAGCCGAGCGCTCTACTACTGAGCTACATCTCTAGCCCCAATAGAGTATATACCAGATTTTGCATGGAGGCAATGCTGTTTGTTCACACACAGTCACGATTCTGTATTCTTGAATTGTTTTGCACCATATGCATCAAAATTAAAGGTATTGGTAACACTGGCGGTGAGGGAATGCACCATGCCAGAGAGTTACTTCTGTGCGATGGTGGAATGAGTATTTGGTCTTTATTTCTCTCCAGTGTATTGGTTCTGTTGGAGGTATCATTGTTCTCTGAGAATATCTTACGTTCAGTAAAGTATTTGTAATGTGCAACTTTAGGCATTTTTTGGACTTTAATGTTAAAATATGTTAAACTTTTGTTAAATCTAGCTGTTGCCCTAGAGCTTCCCAACTTGTTTCTATTTTGTATTCTTTAGTGACACACTTTGCATGTTTACAAAGCAGGAACAGTTTTATTTTGTTAAAATCATCCTCATCCTCAATAATTGTCGGGCCATCTTTCGAGAAGGCACAAAGAATGTTCTACCCACTCTGGGCTGGGCTGGGACCCTTGTGTGGTGTTCATGAGTCCTTTGGTTTGATCCCCAGCCCCAACCCCTCCCCTCAAAAGGTACTTGGAAAAGGTTAACAAGCAGTCCCCTAAAGGAGAGACAGGGACTTGAACTCAATTTGCCAAGTAGGGTGTTGACTGTTAACCACACAAAGGAATTTCAGGGCTTATCAATGAGAGGCCTAGACAGATTTTATTCTGCAAAGAAAGAAATACACCCTGGAGGTAGAGTTCAGGCACTCAAGACAGAGAAGTGCTGTGGCCTGTGATTAGCGATGATCGTAGAAACATTCTTTAAGTTGGGTAATCCAAAACATTTTGTTTAATCTTTTGATCCCTTCAAATCTATTACCTCATCTTAACTGGGTGAAGGCTGCTCCCCTTTATCTTATCAACCTTCTTTAAGAGATTTGGGTATGATCGCCTGGAAGAAAAATCCCAAGAGCAGGCATGAGGAGTAAAGAGAAACTGTGCAGATGCTGAGTGGGTAACCTTGGGTAACTGTGTCCTCTCCTTCCTGCCTGTCTTTACCATTCTTCCATTATAATTAGATAATTTCTTCTTGAGTGACAGAGTGATCCAGCTAGAGAAGTGTTTCAGAATTGTGGAAAGAGCAGAGTAGGTCACAGGACTGGGTGAGGCATCTAGTTCTGATGGGTCTCATATCCTTTATGCAGTTGGAAACGCAGAATTGGGAAGAGGGCTGGTCTCACGCTGGACGAGGTGGGGTGGCTACAGAGGGAGGCTGCTTTCTCTTCCTGAGTGGGACATCACTTAGTGACAGAAAGTGTCACCTCACTGTATTTAATGGGGGATACTTTACACTTTAATTTCTTCCTCTCCTTATTCATGAGGTGCAAACAGGAATTGGAATATTCCAGATATGTTGTATTCTGAAGCAGGCTTCCTTTGTACTTGGTAACTGAAAGTATGAAGTTAAATTTTGATATGTAACTAACTAATTCAACCACAGTACTTGAATAGTATTCACCAGCTGTATTCTGTGTGACAGGGTAGTCTAGAAAATGTTTCCTGGATGTAGTTTCACTGTACTTTGTCTCACAGGTATTGATGGTTAAAACTCTTTGAAACTCCAAACCTGAATTGCTTTTGCTGTTGACTTCCTGCCTTCAGGATTTGTTACTGAGTCTTAGAAATATATATTTGGGAACTTTAAACCATTAATACCATTGAGATTTTTAATGATAAAGAAGGGGAAAACAAGTTACACTTATGTATTTATATTTTTATTACTGGGTTTCTTTTGTGGTCTAGAATATATAAACAGACCAAAAAACATGATCACAACCTCTAGGAAATCTCTGTGTCCTGAGTCCTCCTGCTTGTCCCCCTCTGTTCCTCAGAATCTGGTTTAGGTTTGTTTCGTGATTGAAATAAGCATCTCGTGAAAATATTAGCAGCTGGCTCTGGGAATCCTGTGGAGTTCCGACGCGCTGCTAGTTTGGGTCTCTTCGTGGGCTGTGGTGGAGATCCTGCCTGTAGGATTGAAGAGCTCATTAGCAGTCTCTAAAGCAGCTAGCTGTGAGAACGAGATAGTGGAATAAAATGTGCTGTGCAATTTTGTTCCCTATTAGAAAGCCGAAGAGGAGGATATCGTTCTCACCCCCGATGGTACCAGGGAGTTTCTGACATTTGAAGTTCCGCTTAATGACTCAGGGTCTGCTGGTCTTGGGGTCAGTGTCAAAGGTAACCGGTCGAAAGAGAACCACGCAGATTTGGGAATCTTCGTCAAATCCATTATTAATGGAGGAGCAGCTTCTAAAGTAAGCACATGTCCACTTTATTGAGTATATGCCCGCTAACAAAAATGTGTAATTCTCATCCTATTCCAGTTTTTAGCGCATACTCAGTTAGCAGATGTTTTCTGGCTTTTTTGCAATGCCCCATCCCTGATCAAACTGCTAGGAGCAATCTCAGGGCTGTGTCCTTGGGGCGTAGGTCCATAACTTCACCTCACAGGTCTGGTAGCCCATAGTCATGCTAGTTACAGGAAGATAATCTATGCAGAGCCTTAGCACAGGTCCTAGTGTCTAGTAAAGGTCATTCTTTTCCCCTCCCTCCCTTGCTTGTGGGCCACTTGTTCTGTTTCTCAGGCTGGACAAGTTTCCTGGCTGTCTGTTATTAAGGGGACACTTCACTGTTGTTGTCTGATCGCCTTGAGCTTCTGCAGGTCTTGGGTTGTAAATAACCTCTGTGGGTTTTTCTGGAAGCAAGAAAGTAATCACTTTGTGTTCTTTAAATTAGTATGCTATTTGGTAAACAGATTATGATAATGACTGATTTACAAATGTATAAATGATTGCAATAGGCTTAAGCAACAGTAGTGCTTAGGTTTTATTCTGTTAGTGTTCAATTGGGCATAATCCGTTTGCATTACAGTTCCCCAATCCCCTCTTTTTTTGGGCTTTGTTTTACTTTTTTTTAACTAAAAGGAAAGGGTTTTCTTTCATGGAAGGCTATTTAGTAGCACTTATTTTACCTGATTTCTTCCCAGGATGGGAGGCTGCGGGTGAACGATCAACTGATAGCAGTAAATGGAGAATCCCTGTTGGGCAAGACAAACCAAGATGCCATGGAAACCCTGAGAAGATCTATGTCCACTGAAGGAAATAAACGAGGAATGATCCAGCTGATTGTGGCGAGGAGAATAAGCAAGTGCCATGAGGTAAGTTACAGAAGCCCAGAGGCTCTGCGCCTGAAATTGCAGTGAGTCTTATTTCTGCTGTAACCTTGGACGCAAAGGCCAGTTCTGGGACATCACTGCCAAACACCTGGCTTCCTGTGGGACCGCTGTTTGTCAGTGGATTGTGATTTGTTTTCTTGGTGTGATCGGGGCACATCTAAGTCTGTGCTACCATTCCTGCTGCCAACTGAGCAGGTAGCATGGGGTCTCAGCTGATTCCCTTCTAGAACCCAGGCTTTCCTTCCTCCTCAGCTGTCTGATTCTTATCAGACTAGACCTCAATGCTACCTGCTAGGAGGAAGAGCTGCTAACGCACCTGTTTATGCCAAGTGGGAGCAGTCTGGCCTCTTCTGTGCGGCTCTCCTGTCACTGCTGAAACCCCATCCTTCTCGCCTCCCCTTTCTCCTCCCAGGGGTCCTCTCTTCCCTAGTGACTGCTTTTGCAGGGCTCTGTGCTATGGGTGACCATGCCTGGCTTTAAATGGATGCTCTGCCTGGTGGGGTGCTGGACTCATATGTGTGGGCCTTGGGTTTGATCCCTAACATTGAGGAAAAGTCTGTGGGATTAGGAGTCAGTGGAAGACCCTGGCACCCCCCTCTGGAAAGGTGCCATCATTAGTTTTTCCAAGTAGGTGAAAACATAAAACATTTGAAAATAAAAAGTAAGTGACACATACATTTGCTAATAAATATTGAAGTCCTGGAAAACCTACATTCTGAGGATTTCTTATAAATGGTGCATGATCTATAAAATTAAGTCAAGCTACGGAGAAGAGCTTGCTAAATAATTCAGTTTTGCAGTTTCTGTTAATGCTCAGACCACCCACACTTTAAAATCAAAAAAATTAGAAGATTATACGTAGTTTGTATTCTTAATTTATATTTATTTATTTATTGTACCAGAGATTGAACTCAGGACCTTGCACTTGCCAGGTGGGCACTTATTCTACTGAGCTACCTCTCCAGCCCCTTGTGTTCTTAATTTTAAGTCTCGTTTAATTTATAAAGTTGTGTGATGACCTTGCATCTGAGCCTGTAACACCTCATATTGTGCAAAGGAAATGTACCCTTAAACTCAGTGGGTGGTCTGTTAGAGGGGACCAATTTTGAAAGAACCATTGATTTATGTTTGTTTTACTTGCCAAAGATAGAATGAGATGACAAGCTAATTGCTACAAGGAGAGAACAATGTATGCTCCCCTCATCCTCCGTCCTGTGACTTGGGCTACATCCCTAGTCTTTTATTTTTATTTTGAGCCAAGGTCTTGCTACTTTGTTGCAGCACCCAGGCTGAGCTTGAGCTTGGCAACCCTCCTGCCTCATCCTCCTAGAATGGTGCATGCCAGGTGTGTGCTGGCATAACCCACTAGAGAGCAATGTAAGCTGAACAAAAAACTTCAGAAAGGGCAAGTACAGGACAGAACTCCAGTCATACAAGCTTAATATAGAAGCTAGCTGGAGTAGGCTGTTGAACTGAGAAGTTACTCATTCTTGCTTTAGTGTGTGCTCATGCACATGCGTGTGTGTGTGCATGGATGTGGTGGTGCTAGCCATTCTGCCCACACATTCTAGGCAAGTGCTTTTTCACTGAGCTATGTCCCCAGCCCTTACCTGATACCCTTGCGTAGCCGTTGTTTGTGGTTGCGACATCATTAACTAATGTTCTAACATAAGACCTTTAAAGTGCTAGATGCAAATTTCTTAGCAGTAAGTTTCCAAGATGCACTTTTCTGTATTGGTTTTTCTATGGAGCACTGAATACCTCCCTATTTCAGAGGCATTATCCACCCGACAGATGTTTGCTGAGCATCTACGCTACATCACAACACGTATTCCATCCAGGAAGTGTGGCGTGGGAGAAAGCAGATGCGGCACCTTCCTGTCCTGGACTTATATTTTATATCCTGTGGGGCCACAGTTTATCTCCTCAGTTTCTTTAAAAAAAAAGTAAATCTGGTGACACCTTTTCCATGTTTGCCTGCACAGAAAGCCTTGGCTGTCACAGGGCGATCTCACGTCAGAAGCTGGAGACGGGTGTTTTCATCCCTGCACCAGATTATTCCTTACCTCCCCCCACACAGCAGCAAGGCCAACCTGCAGCCTCCTGACGTGTTCTGATGAAAGCACTGATTTTATTCTCTGTTGTCTCATAAAAGACATGAAATTGGAATCCCACTGAAATATCTGTGTCACATTTACTGCTGCATAAGGATTCCTGTGAATGAAAACGATTTAAGTAAAGGAACAGCTGCAGTAGACAGTAATGTACTTTAATATTCAATATTCCTCATGGTATCATTTTGTGCATTGCTGGTTATTACTGTTTCTTAGAAGAGAGTAAGCTTATAAAGCAAATATATATATATATATATATCCTTACCATGAGTGCTACACTTTCTTTGTAATTCTTGCGAGAAGCCTCTTGCACTGACAGGGTTTAACTAAAGAATTTTGTGGAGACAAGAGTCCAGCACAGTTCCCCATACAGGGTGAGGCATGCTTTTGCTACTGTTGTATTACTTTAGGAAAGCCCTATCCCTGAGTCCCCCGGAGGGTACGTGTAAATTACCTTACAGTCAATATTGACACAAGCGCAGGATTTCTTTGCTGCTGGGAGGGAAGGCACCTGAACCAAAATGGTGCGCTTGAGCCTTGTCCACCCAGGCACCTCCACCAGCCATGTGGGCTGGTCCTTGGCCATGTCTACCACTGCTTCTTGGAGTCAAGGGCCTGCATACTTTATTTCGTGCTAGGGAGGATGAGGATTTGCAAAAGACAACTACTGTACTTGGCCACATTGTTCCTTCCTTTATCTGTGGAGGTGCTGCTGTTAGCTTAAGTGTTTTCTTTAAACTAGTTACTTTTGCTCACTAGGTATCCTCTCCGAACCCTACCGGGTTTTAGTTTGGGCTCCGCTGTGGCACAGCAGGGACACTGCCTGGAAGCTTCTGATCTGCTTTGCTTGGCCTTTCAGGAACCTTTGAGCACCACATTTCTCTCAGGTTGTACCCTTGCTGTCCCCCTTCTAGTTTTCTGTTACTTGGTGCTGGCTCCTCTCTCTCCTTTAAGGATTCCTGTGTCCTGTCTGTTCTGTCATGTTTTTAAAGGCTCCTCCTGGGCTGTTTCCTCTTTCCTTGTGTCCCTAGTGCATCTCCACCCCTGGTTGCCTATTACCACCTCTGCAGTCTGCCTTCCCTGTCCTCAAGTTCCACATCCAGGGAGTCAACCAACTGCAGACTGAGAACATTCGGAAGAAGAGAAATTGCATCTGTGTACACCACATACAGACTTACTTGTTATTCCTCAGCATTGTGTGGAGGATTGTCAGCAGTATAGAGATGATTGAGGGTATATAGAAGGTGGGCAAAGCATCCAGGCAGTTGTGTGCCATTATACAAGACTTCAGTGCCCTCGGGTGTGGCTTTCTGCAGAGAGTTCTGAAAGTGCCCCCAGGGCCAAGGGGCAGCTGTGTGATGATGTGGCCTCTAACCCTGTTTCTCTCCTCTGCCACCAGATTCCTCCGCATGACACCCCCTGGAGGCCCTCACTGGTGTCAGCTACCTTGGCTGTGTCTGTGGCTCGTCCCTCTGGCATCTCCTCATATTCCCACCGCGTGGGCTTAGACCCCATCCTCCAAGGCTCCCTGGCATAGCAGTCAGGCTTTCTCCCTCACCCGACTCTACACTGTAGTAAGGGACTTTTATCTATAGATTACATTGATCGTATTAGTTCCTGCTGAAATCTGCCCTGGTGCTCTCTTTGTCCCTAGGATTGATACCATCCCATCACATGGCCCCCTTCCAAGCTTGACTTGGGATCTGGGCCTCTCTAGCTGCTCAGTGCTTGTTCTTTCTCAACTGGGAGATGCTCGCTTTCTCTCCTCCAGGTCTCTTGCTAGAGTCCATGACATGCTGTTCCTAGCAGACTCAAATAGCCTTTCAATTTTAGCTTTCTGCCCTCCAAATATTCTCACCCTTCCACATGCCTCCTTCTACCCGTAGCAGTCTATAAAGTGGGCTCTACTTTCTTTCTTGCTCTCGCTGGAATTGTTAGCTTGAAGCTGAACAGCACCTTAACTGTCTGCTGTGTTCCCATCCATCTGTTGCTGAGAGAAGCAGAATAGAACTTGGGTACTATTAGAGCATGAAGTTCTAGAATAACATCAGGCAAGGTATCAAACTGATAAAAGAAATTGTAGGCAGAGAGTTCTGAAACTCTTGGGCCCCTTTGCGGGCAGTGATTTTGATGTCCTTTGCCTTCCTTCTTGGATTTAATGCGTTTACTTGACTACTTTAAAAACATTTTGTAAAGGACCGGCCTGATAGCATAGTGGACTAAAGTGCCTGCTCAGGCAGAGCATAGAGGCTGGGGTTCCATCCCTGGTGTGCCCTGCTGGCCCTGCATGTGGGTTGTGCTGAGATGGCATTGAGACTGGGCATGGTGGTGCACGCCTGTGATCCCAGCGCTTGGGAGGCTGAAAACAGAATCACTGTGAGTCTGATCTACAAAGTGAGACCCTGTAGACCTGTCCTAAATTCAGGAAAAACAACAGCAACAACAAAACCTTTGTAACTACTCATTGTTTCTGTTCTTTTGCAAGAAATAGAAGTGACTTATCTTTGTTTTGTATTCCCTATGATGTAACTTTTTGAGAGACTTTTTTTGTTTTTTTGAAGTCTTGGCATTCTTTTCCCATGTTTCAGCTTCGGATTACACAAAGCAGGAAGACAAGAGGGTATCACTTGCTGCAAAGGACAGATCTCTAGAAGAGGGAAAGAGGGTAGAGGGACTGGAATAGCAGCCTGATAGTGCTCCTTAGTACTTATGGAGAATAACCTGTGTCTGAGAAATATGCTGATGTAAAATATTTTAAGAAAACTAGCATTGGTAGAAATGACAATAATTTATCATATCTCCAAGTTATTTCCTTATATTTAATAGAAGTAATTTTATAGAAAGCATTGTCTCAGATCCCCATATTGA